TGCTGCAGTTTTCCTCAGACAGGATGGTCGAGAGTTCATGGTTGCCGTTTGTGGGTGGTCGTAATCGTGGTCCAGCCATCTTGGGAGCTGTCACCTCAGTCAGATAGGAGGAGCTAATTTCAGAGCCCGATACCGTCTCTTCGTATCTCGTGTCGTATCCGGAACTGAGTCTTGAATCGTCGTAACCTGAGACAGTACGATATTCAGTCTCATCATCATAGTCGTCATCATAATAGTCAATTCTCCGTTCTTCTTTGCTTTGATAGGTGGCCGGAGGTCTAGGCAACTCTTTGGATTCCCCTTGGAAGGCTTCTTTAAGTAGGCCAAAGAAAGGACGGCGAGGGCTTGACTTGGAAGGCTGAGCAGAGGTTCTAACAGCTCGTCTTCTCTTGAGCCCGCCGGAGTCATGTTCCTCAGATTTAGTGGGGGTTTTATCTGAGGGAGGGGAGGAGCTCTTTGATTTTGTAGGGGTTGAACTCCGATCTGTAAGGTCAGATTTGGATTTAGAATGGGAACTCGAAGCTGATCTTGTGTCGTGCGATGCTTTTCTCGGCGTCTTATGGGTTTCCTTGGTTGAGACTGATTCACGAGCAACCTGCTTGGGTGGTTCAGGACTGGGCTCTTTCTCGGTTTTTGCGGGCTTCTCGGCAGCGGGCTTCTCGGCAGCAGGCTTTGCAGACTTATCAGTCGCAGCTTTGATCGGAGTTTCAGCAGGAGCTTTTGTAGGAGTCTCAGAAACAGGCTTCGTAGACTTTTCGGCATCATCGGTCTTCTTGGTCTCTTGTTGAAGTTTTTCCTTAGGGCTGGAATCCGTTTTCGGGCTGTCTACAAAGGGATCCACTGTATTGTTCAGCCACTTCTCAATGCTTGGTGGTTTGTTTGCTGCAGTGTTCCTCTGTGGCGTTTCGTGGTTGATATCATGGATTATCTTCTTGCCCTCTTCCATGACTTTCTTGAATACGCCAGGCATGCCTTTGAGGCTGGTATTTTTTGGCTCCGCCTTGGGTCGCTTGGGCCGAGTCCGCAACCCAGTACCATCCGCTGATAAATCGAGCTCACTGAAAGCTGAGTGACCGAAGGGTATCTCCCCTGGAATGTCAGCGATTGACTTATTGGCAATACTTGATGACAACTCGGAGTCGAGCCTTGAAGTACCATCGACGCTTGTCAGATTTTCTTCAATCCATGATTTATCATCCCTTGTATTCGATATTCCACGGTAATGCCCCTTTTGACGCCCCTTTGTATGAGGTTGCGACCTTGAGCTTTTCCGTTTGGCAGGAGTGTCTGTCGCAGAATCTGAGTCTTCATGAACTTCGATTACGTCGATCTCATCATGATGTGCTTTTTTCACTGGCCGTGACCGTGGGACTTCAGTCGAGCGCGAGCTTCCAGATAGCTCAGTAGATTCCACAGTGACCACAATATCTTCCTCTGTTTCTGCATAGCGTGACATCGGTCGAGCCTTACTTCGGTCTCGGGTTGTTCTAGTTGATGCAGACAAGGTTGAGCTGAGGGCAGACGGCGATACTGATCTCGACTTCGACGCAGGCGTATTTCTGGGGGAGTCCATCGGTCTGACTCGGATCCCATCGTCACCATTCTTGGATGCAGGTGTACTCCTGGGAGAGTCCACGGGTCTAACTCGGATCCCATCGTCATCGTGCCTCGATGCAGGCGCGCTCTTTGGGGAGTCCATTGGCGTAACCCGTATCCCGTCGTCGTCATTCTTGGTTGCAGGCGTGCTCTTTGGGGAGTCCATGGGCGTAACTCGAATCCCATCATCATCCCTCTTCGCCGTGTCTGGTGAGGGAGATTTGACGTCATCAACCGGCTTCTTCCTTCTTATCGGTTTTACTCGTATGCTGCCCGAGTCTACAGAGCCGGGTGTTTTGCGTCGTAGTGACTGCCTGCGTGTACCCTGACTCGATGTGTACCCCCTATCAGATGTCCCGTCGCTTCCCGCGCCCTCCGGTCTCAGGCTCCCGTCCCTCGACCGTGAGGATCTGTAGCTGCGGGGCGGTCGTGTGTCTGGAATCTCAACCTTCTCCGCCCAGGCCTTGATCTTCTTATTTACATTCGGGTTGGGCGTGTTCAGAGTGAAGTTTTTCGGGAGGGGTGTCCCTCCAGAAGGCGAACTGCTCTCGGCTTTCGCAGATGTTTTTCTTGAGGCCACTCGGATCGGGGCCACTCGGATAGGTGATACTTTTCTTGCTGTTACCCTCGCTGGAGAGGCTCGCCTTGGGGGGCTTTTCCGCGTCTTCGGCAACCAGTGGTCGTCACTAACGACCCTCTTCTTAGGAGGTGACTGGGACCTTTCGCGACCGTCTTCGCTGTCATCACTACGCTTATCCGACTTATTGGGGTTGGGACCCAGCACAGGCTTCGTCTTTAAGCCATTATTCTTCGCCGTTTGCCGCATCTTGATCCGTATACGGTCCTCTTCGGTGACGCTCTGGAAATCCTCGCCGGAGAAGGCGATGTCTGTCGGTTCGGTGGCGGCATCGTCGGGATCCGCATCCTCAAGGGCCTTCGCATTGACTTTCTGCCATGCCTTCACCCGATCTCTTACACCTCCGGGAGGCTGGAGCTTCTTGACGGCCCCCTGCCTCATCTCGTGTCGAAGCTCTGCCTTGACGGCTTCAACGCTCTGTCTTCGCTGCCTTTCCGCTGCTAATCGTGCGGGCGAGGGTCGGCCTCGAAGGAAATCATGTAATAGAGTTGGTGGTTCGGCCGCTTTTTTGGAGTTTGCGCGTGTCCGGGTGGCAGCAGGAGCCGACTTGGGTGTCGTTTTTCCCGCTGCGGGCTTGTTCGTGGGCGTCGACGAGTCCGCATCTTTCTTTACTGTCGTCGGCTCCTTCCCGGGCGTCTGCGGCTCTGGCGACGCATCTTTGGAGTTGGGCGCTGTCATGGTAACTTGTGTCTGGAGAGCTTGGTTCGGGATCAGCACCGCTACCTACCACAACAATAACAAACAGTAACACCGATGCCCCCCGTCTCCCAACAGCTCCGATGAGGGGCTCAGGAACAAATAAACAGAAAAAAAATTCATGAACAATCGACCTACCTCAGACGAACAGCATACTGCGCAATGTCTGCCCGATTATTGTGTCCTATGCCAGCATAACCAGAGAATTAGGACTGCAGGCACGGTTGCAGACAGCTGACGAAGGAGCTCTGCCCGCCACTACGTTGGGCTGCCTCTTAGCTCTTTGGTAGGGGGAGATGTCGGCCCGGTTGGCACGGTGTTATGCGAACTCGAAAGGTTAAAAAAAAACTAATAAGTCGATCGATTGGCCCCAATACAACAATGCAGGAGCTACAAGGGGGAAAGAAGGACTGTTGTTGAAGTTGCTAAACAATGGACGATAATACAAAACGGCGGGATCAGCGCAAGTGGCCTCGGGCATTTCTCTGCAGCTCATCACCCCAAGTTGATGCGTCGAGGCGGATGAGCCTAAAGTTGGGTCTTGGCCTGGGTGGCACGCCAACCGATGGGGCCAAGATTGGACCCGTGGTGCTCCTAAGCGTCAAAGCATGGAAGCAAGGAAGGTGCTCTGGAGCCTCGAGGTAAACAATAACGTCAGTTGCCGGCAAGAGCAATGCACCACCAGGCATTGGAGAAAGCCAAGGTAGAGCTACATTTGAGACCTCCAATTTTACGATACGGTCTATGTACCTGTACCCAGGCGATGGATCCACCCCACCCACCAGCCGTCGCCGTCTCCACCACCTCCGGGATCATGTCGACCCGCTCAGCCAATCGCAGCGACATGCTGGCCTCATGCAGGCAGCAAACACCCAGTCCAAGAATCGTCGGTCAGCTACTCCCAGCTCAACTATTCCATCTCCCAACAGTCGGTCTCAGAAGTCGTGAATTCCAATAAGTTATGCATGCTGTGCGCACATGTAGCACCGCCATGGTCCAATTGACACCTGGCCATTTCGCTGATCGGTGAGCGAAAGCCGCACACTCCGAAACCGCAGCTGGAGTCGGGAGGCTGGGAGACCGACAGCTCACACCTACACGAATGAGTGCGTAGTTATAGCTCGATAACTGCCGTGTTATTACCCCTCTTGTCCCACGAAATCAGGTATTCGAAAATCTCGAAAGCCGGGTCAACCTGGTCGGACTGGTCGGGCTCGATCGAAAACTCCTTCGATCGACGTGCCGATAGGCCTAGGATTCTTCGGGTTCCCAGCCTTTCTTTATGCGATTTCCGAAATCTCGATCTTCCTTTGCAGACTACGGACGAGAAGCCACGAATCTCGTATTTTTTTATGCCGAATTTCCTTTTTCTCTGCCCCTCTTTCCTAGGACTCGTTTGCCTACCTCGTTAATGACGATGACGTACATTGTCCAGCTGCGCAATCGTCCACGCAAAACCCTTTTCGTTTCTTATAAGCCATGCCGCGAATCCCACATCAACGTCCCAATCACCCCTCCTCCATGATCGGCTGACCCAGAATGGTCTCACACACCTCAAACATACGAAGTCCCCAGTCACCCATCTCATGGCACGCCAGCCGAGCAGGGATCCCGCCTGACCACACCACACCAATTCATGGAGGTGAGGCACCCGCTAAGCCGGAACGAAACATATTTATAAGTATTCACGATTGATATTGAGCTATGTAAAAAAAGGCCACTAGTGATGAATAATGCAAAAACTACCAGCTCGAGCACCACGGGCGCAATCCAGTGCCGGTGGTGCAAGATGAATGAGAGGAGGTGCATTGAAATCAGGATAGACCGGCCATCCTGGGCTAGCCCCCCTTTCTCCAATGCACATGCAAAATTCAAAGTCCCAGATGAATCAACGCCGCCGTGTATGTGTGTGTACCATGCAAGAAGAGCCGAAACGCCATCCAATGCAGTGAAAGGGGAATAATGAAGAAATCGAGAGAGAAATGATGAACCAAATATGCAGAAACCCTGAAATGAAAAAGGGGGGGGAATTATAGCCTCCAAACAGAAGCCAAATGCAAAAACAAAAAATCTAGTTGGTGTTGGGGAGCAAAAAGCGCACCCTCTTCTTCGGCTTTGCAGCCTGTGTGTCTAATCCGTCTCCATTGTGTATGCTGTTCTCATTCTGCAGCTCCTCCTCCGTCTCCTCCTCGATAGACCAGACGTCTGGGCTCGGCTCGCGCCAGACACGCGCATTCCTCGACCGGGCGGCGGACAGGCTGCGCGAGCGGACGGGCCTGTTGTGACTCCGGCCCCGAATGGCGGGGAACGACGCTGGCGACAGGAGGCCGTTGGCGCTCCGATTAAAGAGTGGGCTTTGGGGTCTCTGGCCCAGCCCGTCGACGTAGAGATCGCGCAGGGGTGTAAGCCTTGGGCTGCTCGGCGAGAAGTGGATATATTCATCCTCGTCCTCGTCGCCTGAAGTGGCATCGGAATCGAAACAGGGCGAGGACGACCTGTTGCTTCCCGGGCTTCTAAACCCGCCATCCAGAGAGGAGGGGCTCACACTGCGGACAATCTCCCGCGGTTGGCTGGGGTCCTCGATGCCGGCATCAAAGGTCAGCCCGTCCAGTTCCATGTCTTGTTCGTCGTCTTCAAAACCGGGTGTCGGTGTCAGGAAGTATGTAAGGGGGTCGTCGTCGATGTCGTCAAGCAAAGGACGGTCCTCCTGTTGCCTCCTGGTCTTACCGGGTTTGGGAACCTCAACCCTGACCTGGGTTGGGGGAAAGGAATCCCGGCGGGATCGCATCTCCGCATCAGTTGGGATGTTTAGTGGGAATGTCATCCTGGATATATATGGCATTATGATGGGGTACTGCTTTGCTCTGTCTACGGCCCGAGGAGAAGTGTGTTGGGCAGCGTTAGGTAGGGATGAGGATGGAAAACGCCGGCAGCACCGGCGCAGGATGAGGAAAGAGCCAGAGCAAATAGCAGGAGATATATATCTTGTGTGTAGACAAATCTAAAGAGAGAGAGAGAATCAAAGCTGTGAAACATCTGCCAGCCTCGAGGAAGGCGCAAATATATATGTAGAGGTGCGGCACGGCTGGAGATCACAAAAGAGTGGGAACATGTGGTCTAGGCTACCTCTCTGGAGGGCGTAAAGCAAGGATTCAAAGACTCATCGCCGCCACAATATGCAAGGCTGCGCAACTATTGACGAAAAGGACGGGCTATGTTCCAGTCACGCTGCAAGAAAGCGATGCCTGGTCAGTCAGAGAAGAAGAGGGTGTGTGGTCATCGTACTTGGAGCGGGGCACGAGGTCCACGTGAAGGGTGCCTGGGGGAGTGAGAGGACGCACACTTCGTAACCTCCAAGTCGCATTTGGACGGGAAGAGTGTCTCGTCTGGGCATGAGTTCAGCAATCAAGAAACGTGTGTGCGACTGATCCGGCAACTGGGGAAGCCGCAGAGGGGACGCCGCGAGCTGAAGACCAGTCTGGGGGCTCCGTCAGCCACGGAGCGTCGTGAGCGGCTGGTTGGCGATGGCATGCAGCTCCGTAAGCTGAGACATGGAACCCACCATCAGGTTCAGCATCTGACTCTCAGCGAAACCAAGGCTGGGAATGACTTGAATATCGATGCGGCTCGAGTGGGTATTCTGGTCATGCCGTGCGGCCTTTGGAGAAATGCCTTCCTGCATGATGCAATTCTAGGATCGAAGAAATCATGGTCCGATCGGGAAATTGAATAGAGTTGTTGAACCTGCATTTCCGCTTCATGACCTGCGATGCATGGTGGTTCCTGGCCAGCAGCCTCGTCTGCCGCCGTATCCTACTCGGCAGCAAGTCATGGAGATGTCGATCATCGCAAGGTGGAGCAGTCGTTCGGACTGGGTGATCATCAGATCTCTCTCCCTAGAACCACTTGATATCACTGGAATGGAGGGGCGAGGGGGGTAAGAAGCACGGTTAGTTAGCGGGCGTCTCACCCATCAGCCCCGTCACAATCACAATCACAATCACAGATAAATAATCTCAGCGAGTCCACCCTTTCTAGAGCATTCCCGAGGAATGGGGCATGTCTGTCAGCACTCGATCAATATTTCACGGCAAGTCCGCTTCAGCTCGAGGTTTGAGAGACGGGCTGAAAGCTGAAGATAAGGATGGATGGCATCTAGAAGCAGAAATTGATTGACAATGGCCGTCGGGGTGTGGTGCATGTCGCAAATTGATTTGAATTGTCCAGGCCGCGGGCTTATCGGCGGCCAAGCATATATCAGCAGGCTAAAATTCAGTAACCTCCAACAAGCGCAGTAATCATGATACCCAATGCATCTACTACCTACCAACATAGGCAGCTGAGTAACCGGTGAAATGAGGCATCAAAGTAAACAGTAGCTTTAAGCAGAGCATTTCCAGAATAAGCAAAACAATATAGTAATGAATAAAATATGGAATGACAGGTGATAGCATTGTTGTCTCTTGCAGGACACTGTTTTTGTCAGTGTCAGTCTCGATGTCGCGGCGTTCTAGGGTAGGTAAATATGTCGGATGACGTCGTTCACCACCTCGAAGTAAAATCGCAAGATGCCACCATACTTGGCTTGGTGAACGGACCTTACGGAGCTCACACAACAATTGACTAATAGCTTATATCATCGCATTCGAGGACCAGACTCTGGTGAGTTTTGTAGAGGGGAGCTTAGGATGGGTTTAAACCTAACCAGTTGTCTGGGGTGGCATCTTACCATTGCCAAATAGCGATGCCGGTAAATCAGAATGCCAGAGGACAAGAAGACTGAGGGGAATGTCCCATGTTACGCTTGGTTCTTGATAAGACGCTTGGCATGTGGAGGACCCGTTGCAACGAACGGTCAGGCCTGATCCCCCGCTCCGACCCTGGACACATGCCGGCCCCAGCGGTAGGTTGTAAATACTCGCGGCCTGGATGGAGGCACATACGTAAGTGTCAGGCCTCCGGCAGAGCTAGTCAACGAATGTGCGTTTCTTTGGCGTCAATTCATGCTTCATCAGCCACGTTTCGGATCCAACGGACTTTAAGCCTGCCCGCCAGCCCGTCATCATCATGCCAGCCCTTCGTTTTCACCACTTCCTACGACGATGAGTCGTTGACTGCGACGGACCTCAAGCTACCTGACCGAACCTCCCAGTTAGCAACGCTTTTCCCGTGACGTTAGGTAGCTAGCTCGAGCCCAAAAGAGGCACTCTGGATCCCCATGACCAGCCGATGAGACGGCCAAGACCCGTGCAGATCGGTTGGCTCTCGTTGGTTTGGCTAGGACGATGTTGCAGCGCCAGCAACCTTGTCCCTGTGCCTCCGTGCCCTCCGTGACTCCCGCGACCCGTCGATAGCAGCATGCCCGAGAGGTTCTTTTTAGTCCCTCTGCCCGCTCATCCTGCGCCTCAGCGAGGTACGCGGCTGCAAGCCCTTCCCCAGGCTGCGATATTATCTCCGGACCTCATATCCCTCTTTTTCATATAAGAAAGAGCCTGCCCGTGGTCCAGCCGCGACCGCCGGGCGAGAGTGGTTGCTTCCTTCCCCCCAATCTCACAGATCTTCGCCCAGGCGAATAAGCTTTCCCGCCATGGCCGAGACCGGCTTCAACCCCAGGGCCTTCCTGATGCGCCCAACCAAACCCCTCATCTTCCTCGTCGCCTCCGCGGCTATACTGGGATTGACCGTCTCATGGCTGGCCATCCAATACCCTGGCTTCATCTTCTATCCCGCGCCAGCGCCGATTAATTGTCCGCTGGATTTTGACAACGACACTATCGCTGTGCCGCCTACGCATGTAGGGATGGATTACAACGAAACTCTACCTCTACGCCTCATCACCTACAACATCAGATATGCGTCCAAGCATCCGGTCGCGAACGAGAAGCCCTGGGAGATCCGCTGCCCAAAACTCGTCACCCAATTGAAATTCATCACAGAGGGCCACGACAGCCCCTTCATCTGCCTCCAGGAGGCCCTCGACTCCCAGGTCCACGACGTCCAGCGAGGCCTGGGCGCGGGCTGGGGTCACATCGGCCGCGGCCGCGAAAAGGGCGAGACGGACGGCGAGTTCTCCCCCATCTTCTACCGCTCGAGCGCCTGGCGCCTGACCCGGTACGAGACCCGCTGGCTGAGCAAGACGCCCGACCGCCCCTCCAGGGGCTGGGATGCCTACTACAACCGCATCGTCACCATGGGCGAGTTCGCCCACCGCACGACCAACACCACCGTCATCGTCATGAGCACCCACTTTGACCACATGGGCGCCATCGCGAGGGAGCACAGCGCCGACCTGCTCATCAAGTTCGCCAAGGAGTGGAGCGCCGCCAGCGAGGCCGACGTCTCGGCCGTGCTCATCGGCGGCGACTTCAACAGCGCCCCGGACGACGACTCGTACCGAAGGATGACGGCCCCTGGCTCAGGCATGTCCGACATCGCGGACCTCGTCCCCGATTCGCGCAAGTACGGGAACAGGTTGACGTACACCTCCTTTGGAGAGCCGGAGTACGGCTCTGCGCGGATTGATTTCCTGTTCATCAAGGAGCCTCGCACGGCCCTGGTCAAGAGTTACGGCGTTCTGGCGAACCAGTTCGAGGATGGGATTCTGATCTCAGATCACAGGCCAGTTGTTGCAGACATGGAGGTTCTGCCTTAAGGATCATCTGGCTCATGTTCTAGGTCGATCATGAACTGGGATGAATGGTTATGAATTGTGGAGTTTTCTTGATCCATGGGGAAGGACGACTTGTATGTAAATATATACCCGGATTTTTTGCGTTTATAAATATCGAACGAAAGCATACATAGCATAGGGAAGCATACCGAATCGATGCGAGCATTGGCTGGCTGCCTTTCTCCAACCTGTCCCAGATCGCCGTCTGGAAGCCCACCATTCACCGTCAGCAGACCGTTCGCTAGTGCGGACTACTCACTAGCCTCATCTTCCAAAACCCTGCCATCCATGGATGTTGAGGAACTTGTTGACTACGATCTTCAAAAGCAGAGAGGTTGGGGTAGTAGTCTAGATGCAAGACTAGAGCGGATGCTTACCCACCCTGGCAGTCAGTCCTACAGATCAGATAGCAGACAGACGATCTGCCCGGATCGAAATGACAGCCCCGTTGCAGCGCTGTCTATGACAGTGTTGATTAAAAAACTTATATTTCCATTATGATATGTACCTTTTACCACACAAAGATGGCGTCAACATGCGCTCTGGTGGCATTATCTGCGTTGACGACGGCAGTTGGATATCCTGCCAAAAGGCGGTGTGTGACGAAAATGATCGCAGCGATAATTGTCAGCTTGCCGAACTCGAGTCTTGCATAGGTAGAGAACCTAGTATGGCTATCTCTTGCTCGCTTCCCCCACAACCGCTGCTACGACGGTTCGAGAAAGGAGAAAACGCTAGAATTCTCTGGAATCAATGCCCGCGCTCGCCGCGGCAGACTCTCCTCCAAGCCCAGGGCTATCTCTCATATGCAGGTATATGAGATGGCTTGCATCGTTTGAAGCACCTGACCAGGTGTCCCCGGGCACCGGGTGCGTCAAAAGTCAATGATGGGGATCTGCTAGCGAGGCATTGCGCCTATACTCCTCGCAGAACGTGAGCAAGGTGAGGTCCCTCGATGGTGCGCAAATACATAGATCCAGCCACTCGTCAGGCACACCATATGCATTCGAAGACAGACCTGGCCTCACCCGCAGCTGGATTTCGGGGTTCCCCGTCATTCAATCGGTAAGAACGAGCCCAAGACCGACGTCAAGGGACATATGATAGAAAAGGATACGTGTCATGGTGTATTGGGACGTCGAGCAGTCAATGAA